GCGCCGATGGGGGGAGGGGAGGGGTGCTACCGCCCGGTCGGCTGGGTGCGGGCGAGAGTGGCGATGCGTGGTGTGGGCCCGCGCTTCTGCGCACCGCACGCCGCAGCGCCGCCCGCGCGCCGTCGCTCCCTCCCCCGTGCCCGCCCGCGCCAGCCGCGTCCGCGGCGGGCGCTCCCACGGTGAGGGACGCCGGGACGATGGGGGCGGGCAGGAGGGCGGAGAGCAGCGCGCCCTGCAGCCCGAGGGCAACCCATCGCGCGAGCTTGTCGGAGCAGCTCATGCAGCACGTCGCGGGCCTGAGGTAGATATGGGCGGTCCGTGAGAGGCGGGGGAGGACCCGCCGGAGCAGCGGCGGCAGGGACGTCGGCGCGCCCGCGGCCGGGTTTGGTGCGGCACAGCCCAACCTGCGCGGACGCGTCTCGGACGTGTCACGGACGTGCCCTACGCCAGGCTCGGTGCCGCACACGGCCCCGCCTCTGGCGCAGCGCCGCCCCGCGCAGCCTCCTCGCCGCGCGCCGCGTCCGCCGCCGGCTTCGCGCCCGTCGTGTGACCTAGGACGCTCCCCCCACCCTTCGCCTTCTGCCCCTCCCGTGGGGTGGCTCTGCACTGCGGGTGGAGGCTCCTTCCCCCGCACGGATGCAAAGCCGCGGCCGCTTGCCAGAGCCGCGCTCGCCGCCCTCCCTGCCGCCGCCCTCGCCGCCGCCCTCGCCGCCGCCGCCGCCGCCGCCGCCGCCATCGCCGCCATCGCCGCCGCCATCGCCGCCGCCGCTGCCGTGCCCTCTCCTCGCCATCGCCTGCTCGGCGCTTGCCGCCAGCGTCCCGGCGCCGCGGCCGCTGCCGGTGCCAAAGATGGCGGCATCGCCGCACGGCGGCTGCGACGAGTAGAAGTGCACCGAGTACCCCGCCTTCAGCGCGTAGCCGCCGCCCGGCCGCGGCTCGAGCACCGATCGGGCGGCGTCTCCTCCAGCGTGGAGACGGAGCTGCGCGAGGAGGTAGCGCAGGAAGGCGCGCCGCGCGCACACCTCGGCGTGCCCGTCGTGAAGGCAGCCGCCGCTGCGCTCCGCAGCGATGGCCTTGGCGGTCAGGCACTTTGTGCCGGTCCCGAGCGCCACCACTTCGAGGGCGTCGCTCGCCGAGCGCAGAGCGATGCCTGCGAGCACGGACCACTCGCCTGCCTGCGGCTTGCCCGTTGCGGGCAGGGCGGCGTACGCGTCGAGCACAGCGAGCCGGATGGCCGCAGCGTCGGTGTCGACTGCGGCGTCGTCCATACACAATACAGCCACAAGGCAGTTCGTCCAGGGTTCCAACTTTTTCCGGGTATGGTATGGTTTTGTGAATTCGCGGAGCGAATTTTTTTTACAATATGGAATACGTCGCTTTTGGGAAAGTTTTTGGAATATGTTGGAATACCTATTCCACCTCCCCCCCCCCTCAGCACATCTCCGCTGTCGCGCGCCGCGTGCTCGCGTGCGCAGCCCGGCTGGGGGCAATCAAGACGACGGCTCATGCAGGCGGTCGAGAAGTGGGACACCGACTCCGACTCGGACAGCTCGGACGAGGAGGACCTCAAGATGTGAGGCAAGCGCGGCGGCGGCAGGGGCGGTGTGGGGGGGTGGGCGGCGGGGACGCTGCTGTGAGCTGAGGGGTGGCCCGTCTACCGTCTACCGGTAGACTGGGGTAGACTGGGGTAGACGGTAGACCGTTTGGTAGACTGAGTCTACCGCAGTCTACCGCAGTCTACCGGTAGACCGTAATGAACCTACGACCCCAGTCTACCGGTAGACTTGGTAGACCGCGGTAGACTGGTCCCTTTTTCAGCCGCCGAACGGTAGACCGCCGCCGCCGGACGGTAGACCGCCTCGGCCGTTTGAATATGCAGCCTCCAGTTCTCCACGCTGGCGCCACTTTGGCAGACGAGCGCCGGCAGATGCCCTCGCGGCCTGCCGGCGAACGTCCGTCCGGCGAGAACGCGCGCCATAATGGACGTGTGGCTGTCTGGCGAAAACTCGCTCTCGAGAGCCGCGAGAGGGCGGCGCTCTGCAGTGAGCGGTGCCGCCCGATGAGCGTGTAAAGACGTTCATTTGATCTCATAAAAGACACGGAGCGCGGCTCGCACGGAAATGGCGATGAGGTGAAGCCCACAGCGACCGCGCTCAACAGCTCTCTCACCGGCAGATTTCGCCCGCGCGGCAGACCGCACTTTCATCGCGCGTTCTCGCCGGACGGACGTTCGCCGGCAGGCCGCGAGGGCATCTGCCGGCGCTCGTCTGCCAAAGTGGCGCCAGCGTGGAGAACTGGAGGCTGCATATTCAAACGGCCGAGGCGGTCTACCGTCCGGCGGCGGCGGTCTACCGTTCGGCGGCTGAAAAGGGGTAGACCAGTCTACCGCGGTCTTGAGCACTTGAGCACTGGATAGGGTCGGTTCCGCATGGTACGGGACCCCTCGATCGTCTCGCCCTCCCTCACTGGTGTGTTCATTGGGGGGGGTCATAACAAACACGGTACAGGATCGAGGTGCACGCTGCCGAGGCAGTATCGTCCCCCCTCTCCCCGACGGCGATGGCGGTGTGACCGATCGAGCTACAAGAGGAGCTTGTTCAGCAGGATCAGGGGTGGGTCGAGCAGTTCTCACTTCCACAATGGGTGAGCTTCAGACCTCGGGCCTGCCTCCCCCTTCACCCTTCGGCTCGCGTGGATTCGAACCACCGCCGGGATGGAAGCTTCCTGCTTCCATCTTGAGAGACAGCGCCGCGCATCACTTGTGGGCGTAGCCATCTTGTTAATTGTCAGAATTCCTGTTGTGCAAGAGGGGAGGGGGCTCTGACGGAGTGTGAGGCGGGAGAGGGCAGGGAATGGGCGCGGGGGAGGGGGGGGGGGGGGCTCAGCCGTGCAAAAAGCATCAATTAATAATAGTAAGGAAGACATGTTGCCCGGCCGTTCAAGAAGTCCGTCTCGATTTTCGTTTTTTCCCCACAGACCACTCGGGCAGCTTTTACGAAAGGCAAAGTTTTACTTGACCACTCGACCACTCGGGCAGCTTTTACGAAAGGCAAAGTTTTACTTGACCACTCGGGCAGATTCGATTGCATTTTACCACTCGGGCAAACTCGATGAAACGGGCGGACGGAAACGCGTTTGCGACGGCTCGCCGGAGAGCATGCATGGAGCGGCCGGTGCGCCGCCGCAGCTCACCGATGGAGCCTGCGTCGCGGCTCAATCCACTGACGCCGCAGCACTGCGACACACTCTCCAAGCGCGGCCTCTGGCGTTGCGATTGCACAGAGAGCGAGCAATAGGCGCCAAAAGCACAGATCTGTGTGCAGTGGATTTCCATGTAGGTCGCGCCCAGCGAGCGGACAACCGCGGGTCTCGGATGCTCGCCCGGACGCGAGCCCATCGTGCGAGTGGCGGACCCGGAGGCGGCCGGCCCAGCTCACCCCCAGAGAGGCCATGGCCAGGATCAGGCACAAAAGGGGGGGTGTTTTCCGTCCGTCCATCTCCTCTCACCGCGGTCTACCAAGTCTACCGGTAGACTGGGGTCGTAGGTTCATTACGGTCTACCGGTAGACTGCGGTAGACTCAGTCTACCAAACGGTCTACCGTCTACCCAGTCTACCGGTAGACGGTAGACGGGCCACCCGCTCAGGCTGTGAGCACGTCGGACGCCACGCGCGGGACCTCCTTACGGTGCGCGCCGCGCACGCACGCGCGCGGCTCGCACGCGCGCGCGCGTGCGCGTACAGTCTTATAGCTTGTACACAGTCGGCACGCGCGTTCCGCGCGTGCCCCGCTGAATACAAATACTACCCATTCTAGAGCTGTTTTGGAATACGTGGAATACGTATTCACAGAGTAGGGTATGGTTGCATGGCCTGACCGCCCAATACTAGCCCTACCATACCCCAAGCAGGTCTGCCAGAGGCGGGGGGTATGGTCTCGAGCTGGGTTGACCATACCATACCCCGCAAAAAGCGCTTCGGCGGTTCGTGGCCTGGTGCACTATAAACACCGAGACGTGTAGAAATCTCATGGCGCCGCGCTGCCACCCTAGCCTTGGGTTCGGGCTCGCGGGTACTAGTCGCCGCGAATGGTTGGCGCGCAGGTCCTGTGTCTCGTCGAAAGCCAGGGCGGCATCGCGCCGCCAACGAAGAGAATCATGCTCGCCCCGAGTATCTAGATATGTTTGTAAACATGTGCATTCGCAACGCAGTTCGTCCAGGGTTCCAAAAACTCCGAGAAACCCTTCGGCTCGCTCCTTCCTCATCGCAAACCCTGTCAGCAGAGTCCTCCTGCGGGAATGTACGTAAGAGCTACATGGGGGGGGGGGACACTGAAAAAGTGCCTACCTGTTGCAGGGCCCTCTGGGGCGGTCAAAATCCTACCTACCTATTGCACAGGGAGCCGGAACCCAGCGGCGCCGAGGTGGAGGATGGCTGCCTCAGCGACCCATCCCGGCGGCTCCACTCGCCCACGGCCGGTCGTGTGCTTCGACTTTGATGAGACGCTCGCCGTGTGCACCGGCCACGCGGCGTGCGCCGACCCGCTCCGCCTCTTCGGCGGCGCCAGCCGGCTCGAGGCGCTGCGGTCGCTGCTCTCGTCGCTGCGCGGGCTCGGCGTGGCCTGCGGCGTGTGCTCCTTCAACTACCGCGCTGTCTTCGAGCCGCTCCTCTCCGCGGCGGGCCTGCTCGACCTATTCGACCGCGACTTGCTCCTCGGTGCCGAGGTGTTTGAGGAGGGCGGCGCGCTGCACTCTCCGCCTCCGCGGCTGAGCGGGGTGGATGGGCTGACCGCCGAGGACCGACGGGCGGTCGAGCGCGAGCTGTTCCGCGCGGCGTGCGCCGCCGAGAGCAAGGGCGCGGTGCTGCGCCGGCTCATCCTCCCGCGGCTGCGAGGCGTCGGCGAGAGCGAGGAGGATGAGGCGGTGGCGCGGCTCTCGCGGCCGCCGGTCGGGGTGGTCGTGCCTCGTACGGGGAGCGTCGATGTCAGCGACTCTGGCGCCGAATTTGTGCTCTTTGTCGACGACTGCGCCGAGAACCTGTGCGACGTGCGTGCCGCCAGCGAGCACTGCGCCACGCTACTCTCGCCGCCAGACGGGCTGAAGGAGAGCGACTTTGACGCCGTCCTCCTCTGGGCAAGAGGGGCGTCCGCCGGGGCAGGTGGCGGGGAGGAGGGGTGCGTGACGGCGCGTGGCCCGAGATCAGATGAGACAGCGTAAGCGCGCGAGGTACGGTTCTCTGGAGAGAGACTCAAACAGCGCGGTGAGACCCGAGCTGCGCGAGCAGAGTTGAGAGACGGTCTGCCGACCGATCAGTGTGCTCTCTTTCGGAGTATAGGATGACTACTGAGTAAATAAATAAAAACGGACACCTCTCTACTGTGAGATGGGGAAAAAGGAACAGGTCCCCGCCCTTGCGATCTTTGTGCAGGGTGTTCTTTGTGGGTGTGGTCGGCGACGGTAGCCGGTACTCTAGGGGCAGCCGGGGCCGAGCGGGGTCCGTCCTCCCGAACCCGATCGCGATGGGGGACGACTAGCTTCTAGCACTAGCCGTCTTCCACATGGTCCAGTGACTACTTAGTACTGTAAGAGGGGCCTCCTAGATATCGTCGTAAATAAAGGACAAAAAAACACAGCTTCACAGCACACAGGAGACACAGGTCACAGCATCTCAGAGCTTTCGTTGTTAATAGTACAAACCCAATGGTCCTCTGCGAGCGGTCCTTCGTTGCAGACGCACACACGCACACGCCACGCCGCACCGCGCGCCCGCCCACCGCCCCGCCCAGGCGGGAAAGAGGTGGGGAGATGGGACAGCGAAGGAGGAGCACGAGCACGTATGGGAGGGTTCAGTAATGCGCCACGCTGCCCGGCGTCTCTCACTTTCCGGGACAGCCCCGCCCTTGTGAGGCAGGAAAGTGACGGCTACCCCGTACGCGCCTGTCGCTCTACTCGTCGCCGACCGCCCATCCCCCCCTCCTCGTTCCCCCCTCGAATGCTCTGGACCCCGACAAGCCGCCCGACGTTGAGCCTCTGCCCCGCACGCCCCCGCCCCTCGCTCACACCCCGGCCCGACACGCACTCTGCCCCGCACGCCCCCGCCCCTTCTGCCCCTCGCCCACACCCCGGCCCGACACGCACATACAAGACAAACCCGGCGTCCTGCTCTCAAAAGAAAAAGAAAAAAGGGAATGAGGAGACCAGCGGGGGAGACTCCCCGCCTATGCAAGCCCCAGAGAGGGGCCGCCATCGCCGAAGCTGTGCCAAAGCATAACTCCAAAACCCGCGGCGGCCCAGGGGGCCTTGGGGGCAGCCTGCCGGACCGCCGCTGCACGGGGCTAGGCACCAGAAGACGAGTGGAATTGATGGATTGGGCTGTTGTCCGTGCCTCCCCTCTATACGTCAGAGTGGGACCTACGCCGCGCCGGGTAAGGGGCGCGCCCGGTCCTAGACGGAGCCGCGCGCCCCAAACGACCCAGGCGGTGAGTAGTCGTCCTCGAACCTTCGACTTGTAGTCGCCCGTGGTTAGCGCCCCTCCTCCCTCGCCCGTCCCTACTCGTACTGCTCTCGAGGCGCTCGCGGCATCTCGCCGCCCATCTTTGGCCACGCGTTGTAGTCGAAGATGGCGGCGTTGCGCCTCGCGACGATGGCCGAGTGCACTTGCAGGAAGCGCTTGCGCTCGCTACTGACCCGCCATCGTTCGCTGTCGGAGGACGCCTTAGCGGCCTTGATGTCGAAGTTGGTGTTGAACCACGTCGCCGCCTCGTGCCCGATGCCGCCGCGCGTGCTCGCCGCCCACGTCATAAAGTCGCAGTTTTTGGCGTCGCACGCCGCTGCCTTGGCCTTCCGCTTCGTCTCCTCGGCGTAGTCGGTGGCTAGGCGCTTGCCGCTCGCCAGCGGGCGCAGCTTGTCATGGTGCACCGCGGTGACGCACGTGCCGTCGTACACCACGGCGCGTGCCGACTCTGCATAGTTGCCGAAGACGCCGTCGCCCCGTTGGTACGGGTTGGTGTCCGGATCGTGCGCCCGCGTCGGGTCCCTGCAGCCGAGCCTCACCTCCATGACCTTTGCCGAGGCGCCGAAGGCGCGTGCGACGTTCGTGACGTGAGTGTTGAGGGATGCGTGCCCCGTGGCCAACCAGCCGCCGTAGTTGCATCCGTCCCAGTGCGTGCCGCTGAGGTGCTCGAATAGCGACAGCGTGCGCGGCACTCGTGCCTCGCCGATGTCGCACGGGACGCATCCCGGGAGCCTCGTGCGGTGGTAGATGCACACCGAGTTAGGGCCCACGCCGACGCAGCGCGTGGCGAGGGTGATGGCGCCCTTGGGGTGGTTGAGGTAGCCCTGCGCCTCGTGGAGCCACGCCTTGTCGTTCAGCTCGACGTCCTTGTGGACGACGTCGATGCCGAGCACCGCGCCTGCTGATGGCAAGCGCCGCCTTTGACCACGCAGAGCCGCCGCCTTTGACAACGAAGCCCGCCAATGCAGTCGCTCGTCGTCGAGTTCTCGCGGCGCGTGCGCGAGCCAGCACAAAATATGAGGGCGAGTGCAGGGGCCAGCCGCGCCACGCGCGGCCACGTGCACCTCCCAAGCCAACCGCCGCCCCCGCAGCACGACGGTGAGGCGAGTCTCGCAAACGACGCCGAGGGGGCAAAGGTAGCTCTCGCCGGGTGTGCCTCAGCGGCCGCGGGCGAGCAGGGCATGTGCGCGCCACGCGCCGCCGCTCGAGCCGGATCGTACGAGTCTCCCTCCCGCGGCTCGTTGCAGGAGAGCGGGTCGATCCGATGATGCTCGGTGAAGATGCTCGGTTGGCTCTCGCCAAATGTTTGTCCGACTCGACGTACGGCCCCGGGCGTCGGGCCGTGGCGGCGACGGCAGGCGTGCTCCAGCGCCGCCTCGTGCGCACGCACGCGCAGCGGCGGCGCTTCTGCACCACCCGAGTCGCCGCCCGGCCGAGCGAGGAGCAGAGAGACGACGAGTGACATGCTGATTCGGCAATCAAGAATTCTTTTTTTTTTTTTCTTTTCGCGCGTGCTTGCTTTAGTTTCGCCCGCATTTCTGGCCGGGCAGTCGTCGATGGCCTCTCCGCCGTCGATGAGCCACCCCGAGACTATCTACCCCGCGCCCGCGTCTTACGAGAGGGCGCAGGCCGCCCTCGCCGCCCTCGACACCGCGCGCGAATCGCTCCGCAGCTCCGAGTACTCCGAGGCTGACCAACGGACGGGTGGGAGCTCCCACCAGCGCCGAGCTCGCGCGCCCGCCGCGTCAGCCCGCGAAGCTTCGCCACGCACTCTCGCGGCCCGCCCCATCGCACGTCCACACGCGCATCCATCCATCCGTGACGCGTCTGCGACTCGCTCGTCACAGCGCTCTGCTGGCTGGCGAATGAGCTGGGGACGACGCGGCCGGAGCGGGGGACGCTCGCGGCGATCCGGGCGGTGCTGGAGAAGCTCGATCGGCCGGACGTCTTCCGGAGAGACCAGGTTCACCTCCCTTCGCGCGAACCGTTGCTCCTCACCGCCCTCGGCTCTCCTCTCCTCTCGGCTGCCTATAAGTACCAGTGGGACACACCCACCACCGCCGGGGGAACATACACGCACAGACCGCCTCGGGCTCTCCTCTCCTCCTCTCGGCTGCTGCGCGGCTCCGCCCCGCCGCCGCGCCGTCGCCACCGCGCCTGCACCGCCGCGCTCCTCTGCCGCCGCGCATGCCGCTCCGCCTCCCTGCCGCCCCGCCACCTCTCGTTTGTTGCACGAGGCTCCGCGTTGCGCGAAGGGCCTGTGGTGGCTCACGGTGGCGGCGAGGCGGCGCACCGAGAGACGCCGAGACGCCGCAGCGTCACCGCCCGGCCCTTAGAAGGAGAACGAGAACGAGAACGAGAAAGAGAATGCCGCCCTGGTCGCAGGACGCGTGGGAGGCGCACGGCGCCAAGCCTCGCTCGTTCAAGAGCTGGAAGAGCAAGATCCACGGCCTCCTCCTCACAGACGCCGTCGACCAGCTCGAGGCCTGCTGCCTGCTAGACACTTCCTAGACACTTCCTAGACACTTCTTAGACACTGCCTAGACACTTCCGAGACCCACGGCCTAGACACTTCCGAGACCCACGGCCTCACCGACGCCTCCGTGCCTCCCTAGAGCCTAGAGTGTTGAGCCTGGAGCCTTCTCGGAACGGGCTCGGAACGGTCTCGGAGAGCTCGGAAGTGTCTCGAACTGACCTCCGTAGGACGACGCCTTCCTCGAGTTTACCGCCTTCTCGTCCCTGTCGCCCGAGGTCAACTGCTTTGCGCGCGCGGGTGCCCCCCCCCTCCACCACACACGCACACACGCACGCACGCACGCACGCACGCACGCACGCACGCACGCACGCACGCACACACACACACACACACACACACACACACACACACACACACACACACACACACACACACACACACACACACACACACACACACACACACACACACACACACACACAACCACCACCACCACCCCACCCGCCCACCACCACCCCCACGCACCACATACCACATACGACATAGCACAAAACACACAGCTAGTGCGCTTATCGCACATGTGCTGCGCTGCACGATCGGCGCCGTTTGAACGGCTAAAAGCGCCCTAGTGGCGATGAAAAGGCGCCGGACGGTGTTCACGGCTCGAGGTGTGAAGAGGCGCCGTTCACACTTTGTGCTATGAATAGGGCTCGGCTCGACGACTCGTGAGACGGCCTTCATCGTGCGTGTGCAGCGTGTGCTCCTCTGCACGCGCCGCGCTCTCTTTGCGGCGCGCAGCGCCGCTAGAGCGGTTTGACGGCGAACAAATGACTTAGCGGTTTCGAGGTGTGAAATGACGGTTCTCACACTTTTCGACTCGAATAGGGCTCGAGGCGCCGTTTTAACAGAACCCCTGAAAGGGGCTTGTCCAACTTGTGCTGGGCTTCACGCTCGGGCCCTTTTGGAACGGCGCCGCAAGCGCCCTTGAGGCGGTGAGAAGGCGCC